AGAAATTTTGCCGATCTCGCTGAGGTCCGTGACAACATCGGGCGACAGGGATGAGCCGTACCAGACGCGACGGTAGGGAGTAGGCTCGACCGTCGTAAAGTCTGACGGAGTAGGCCTGACCGTCGTAAGGTCTGACGGAGTAGGCTTGACCGTCGTAAGGTCTGACAGGGAATAGCTGTGTGTGGCTGGGGTAGAGTGATAGGTGGTGACCTCAGACACAGAGGAGGAGGCCGACACCACATCGTCACTGGGGCGGTCGCCAGCTTGGAGCAATAAGATCAAGTATGTCACGAACGCAGTGCCTGCGGCACCTCCCACGCCCTTAGCGAACCAGGGCCTTCGCCAAAAGCTGGCAGTTGGCCGCGCCAGTTGCTCCCCCTCGGTGTCGGTGTGGGGCCTCGCGCCCTCGATTATCAAAATCGGGAGCTTCTTTGCTTGATCGCTGTCGTCAGAGGAGGTGAGACAACCGCTTGAGAGATCCTCCGGAAACCTCAGATCCTCGACGATCACCGTCCGCAACTTCTCTCCTTCATCCCACCTCTCGGACTCGGACGTGGATGAAACTTCGACAAGTCCGGCTGTGGTTTCGTCGTCGGATACCTTCCCATCGACGTGTCGACCCATGACTACAGCCAACACCGAGCTCCCCTTGACGTCGCCAAACTGGTTCGACCGTGGGCTTCTCATCACCGCTCGACTTCAGACATAAAAAAAAAGGAAATTTCAGCCTGAGACAAAATGGGGGACCACTTATGTCAGGGTAATGGTGACTGAGCCGGCTGCGACCCGAGGGCAGAATGGTGTGTGGGCTGTGGAGTGTCGATGCAAGTCAGCAGAATCGACACCGAGGGCTCCTCGTACGACGCAGGCAGCACCGTCAGGGCGCGTTTGAATGGGTGTAGGAGAGGCCCCGGAGTGGCAGTAGAAAGGTTCCTGTTGGACGTAGCAAGGTCCCTGTACCCGGACAGCACTCTGCTGAGCCGGTGCTTCAGGTCCTGCGTCTATCCGGCACCGGAAGAGGTGCCAACCCTCCACGATTTGCTGCCGACACGGCTGCACCGCCTGACGAGGCTGCAGGTCCGTTACGGCACAAGGATCACGATTCCGGGGATGCTGCTGCAACAGTCCATCCTGAGCGCGGCGGTAGACAACAGGTGGGCGAAAGAGTTCCACTTCGAGTGCGATGGAACGGTGATAGAGGTGCTCCATAAGCTCGCGCCGCTCTCGGAGAGAGCGAGACCGGTCTTCGCTACGATGAAGTGGCCCACGAGAGACAAGAGTCTGACTCGGATACGTCGGATGACGGGGCGCGCTTCAACAAGCGCGGCAGCTGTGGCATGAGGAGCCACCGCAAGAAAGACTGCCCCCACGGCAATGATAGGTGCGCCAAGTGCGCCCGGAAAGGGCTCTGGGCAAGGATGTGCCCGAGGCACTACCTCACAGACGAGGACTCAGGATTGAAGACGTTCATGGAGGTCGGAGAAGGCAAAGCGATGCTGAATGTCCGTGGAGCTAGAACCAGAACCGACTACCTGAAGACGGTGCAAAAATTCGTAAACAAGGAACTGAGCGCCGACAAGAAAAAAGGGCCAGCCGGCGCCAGGAGAGGACGTCGGCATGCCAGTGGCCGCAGGCGAGAAGGTAGTGAAGAGTGACGGTCCAGGGGGCGCGAAACGTCGGAATGAGCCAACAGAGGACATGGCCCTGGAGCCACGAGTCACGGTTCCCGTGGAGTCGAGAGACGACCGAAATTTTCGGTAAGGGCTCTCGTGAAGCGGGCCGAGATTGAGTTCCAGCAGGATACAGGCGCAGAGGTAAGCCTGCTGAGGAGAGAGGATTGCAGTCGCGCTGGCGTAAGAATGTCGCAGTGCCGACAGCAAGTAAGCACAGTGCTGGGTTCAGGATCACTACCCGTGGCGGACCCGGTACCGGTAACCGTGCACGGCGAGACGGACGAAGTAGAGTTCGCGGTGCATGACCAACCGTCGGCCCCGAACCTCCTGGGGAGGGTAGAATTGGAGCGGTTT